GCCGCTCGCAGGTGTGTAAATCCGCAGGGGAATCCTTGGCTCCACCTGGGTGCGGCGAGGAAATTGCACCATGTATGGGCAGCTACGTCAGAGGGGGCGGACCCGCCTCTGTGGCTGGGGGATACCAAGTCCTCCTCTTTCCCCACGGAAAGGCGGCTACCCGACTGTAGGAGGCGTCGAAAAGTTCGGGGCGGACTGGCAAAAATCAGCGCATCTGAGAGGCGGAGCTCTGAGGTGACCCGAGCCTCGCGCAACGCCCCCCACCCCCAGTCGAAGTGGTTCAGCCCGAGGACTTCATTCATAAAAAGAAAAGACTCCGTGAGGAGCGAGTGAGTCAGAATCCAAGCCGCCGACGCGGACCCCACAGAGCAGCCAGCCCAGGGCATGTTCCGAGACTTCGGGGAACCCGGACCCAGCTCCGGGGCCGGTGGTGCGTACGGCGGCCCGGCGCAGCCTCCCGCTACAGGCCAGCAGGTGAGAGGGACACGACGCCTGGGACGCTGCGGTCCGCCCCGGCCTGGGCCCGGGAGCAGGAGTACGGACTGGGTCCGGGGGCCTTGGCCGCGGGTCCTGCCCACTTTTCCCCGCCCGCGGGCACTTGTCCCCACAGCGCAGGAGAACGCGCGCCGCGGGCAGAACAGAGATCCGCGAACGTCCCCTCTCTCGCTCACCCTTTTTCCTCGCCGTCCATCTGTCCCTCCCTGTTACCTTTCTTTCCTCCTGTCCGCCGCTAATTTCTTTGTCCCATCTGCGTTCGAAGGGGGCCCTGGGCACCTGCTTTAGTCCTGGCCCAGACAGGATCACAGGGTCTGATTCATCTTGGTCTAAATTCCTGGGATGGGATCCGGAGTCCGGGCTGCGACCGAGAAAACCCCACACAGGAGCGGGGCGGGACCACCGGCAAGCCAGCCCGGACAGACTGGGAATCCTCGACACTGCGATCGTCTGTGTTTCTGTCCATTTGTCTTTCCCTCTCAACCCCATCGCCAAGTCTCTATCCTCTTCTCGAGGCAGCGCAGTCTGGTGAGCTCCGGGAGGCTTGACCTCTTCTTCCTTAACAGGTTGGGGCCAATCAAGACCGCGAGATGCTGGGACGTGCGCAGGGTCATGCAGCGGGCAACTCCCGCACCCCCGACTCTCGATTTTGGGCACCGAAGGGCGCCCGCTGCAGGCTGGGGGGACTCGGGAGGCTGCAGGTGCCCATTTCCTGTCGGGGGGCCGCAAGCACGTGTCGCTAGGGGAGGGAAGGAGCGGCGTCCGTTCCGCCGAGTCACGGCGGCCGAGTCACGGTGGCTGACTCACTGGGCGCCCCTCCCTTCCTGGCACGGAGCGGCCCGGGCTTGGAGAACTTCAAGAGCGGGAGATACCGCCCGCGGTGCCTCTGGCCCGGAACTGGGGTCACTGGGCCACCGGGCCCATAAGCGTTGGGCCAGGGACACCGCTGTACCGACTTGCCTGGGCTTGAGTGGACGCTTCCCGGACGACTGGATGCCCACACCCAGAGCCCAGCCCCAGGGCTTGAACCCAGTTCTCCTCCCCAAACACTGAGTCCCCATCTCAACCCATTTCTCACATTTCTAGCTGAAAGAATCGTGGCAGTTAATACCTGGAGTGCATACAGTACAGCCAGGCATCGTGTGGGGGCAGTTTTCACCTCATTTGTAGTATTTTACAGAATCTTAGACCCAATTGATTTAAAAACTCACCATTATTTTTGCCACTAAAATTTTTTTTAAAAATTGCCAATTAAACTGTGATTTCAGAGCTACTAAAGGGTACTTCGTAGCATCAATGAAATGCTGTAATCCTCACCTATGACAGCAGTAAAAATGAGGAAACTGAGGCACGTTGAGGATAAATAAGTTGGTCAGAGGCATAGCCAGTAAGTGGCTGAGCTGAGATTAGGAATGCGACAGCCTGAACGCAGAGCAGTGGCTCTTGCCCACCACAGCCCCTGGTACCCGCCACTTACCAGGTTCTGTCACACACATTCTCTCACCTGAGTCTCTCACAGCCACCTTCAAAGTTAGAAGCTGTAATTATCTTCTTTGTACAAATGAGACTCAGGCAGGGTGCAAGGGTGGGTAAGAGCCTGGTTACCTGGACCCAAACCCCATTTTCCACTTATTGTGGATGACTGTTTTCTTGCCTGAAAATGAAGATACTGTTGTGCAAATTATGAGTCAGTATTTATAAAGTGGTTGGGACAGTGCTTGGAATTCACACTTTATAAATACTAGCTCTGATGGAGAAATGGAGTTACAGAGAGGTTATGTGACCTGACTAAAGTCACACAGCTCAGGAGCAGGGACTTGTCACTAAGTCTGACTGCCCAGCTGTGCTCTTTTTGGTCTCTCAGCAGCTGTCTTGAGGGTGGACAGCATTGTGGCTTCTGTGCACTGGAAGCCCTCAATCCATACAGCCTCACCCCTGGCCTTTCCATTTCTTAACCCTCAGAAATTCCACCTCGTGCCAAGCATCAACGCTGTGAGTGGCAGCCAGGAGCTGCAGTGGATGGTTCAGCCTCACTTCCTGGGACCCAGCAGCTACCCTAGGCCTCTGGCTTATCCCCAGTACAGCCACCCAGTACAGTCCCCCCGGCCAGGAGTCATCCGGGCCCTGGGGCCACCTCCAGGGGTGCGTCGACGTCCCTGTGAACAGGTAAGAAGCAGAGGCATTCACTGCCCTGGTTCTGATGCCCACAGGAATGCTGAGGTGCACAGGATAAGCTCTTGCCCAAAGGGAGAACACAGGCTTAGAAGGGGGAGAAGGTAGCACCGCTAGTGACCATTGGCCAAGGTAGAAAGTGAGAGAAGGCCCTGGGGAGACCCAGAGGGCACTAAGCTCACTTGTGGATCAGTAAAATCTTCCTAGGGTGGAGGCAATATTAGCCTAGAAGAATACATAGGATTTACATAGAGTCGAAGGAAAGGACATTCGGGGTAGAGAGGATGGCAGGAGCAAGAATGGGGGTGAGAACCTTTAAGGTATATATGTGGAAAGGTGCAGGGGCAGTAGAGGGTATCCACCTGCTGACATGTATGGAGAGGGCGGGCCTATGCTGTTTATGTAGCTAGAGAGAGAACAGAAAGGAGAGGGTTCCCTTTAGCTACCATCCGGATCTCAGTTTCCTTATCTCATTTAAAACACCCCTGGGGAATGTACTCTGGTTTCCCCCACATTACAGCCAAGGAAATGAAGGCACAGAGAGGTAAAGTCACTTGCCCAAGATCACACGAGTAATGAGTAATGAGACAGATCCGTGCAATTCTAAAGTTAGATCCTAACCACCGGGCCACACTATCTCACCTGGAGCTAAGGGAAGGCTCGAAGTAGAGTAAGCTGGGAATTCTTGTTTCCCCAACCAGGGTTCCTCCCCACAAACTGCTAATAAAGTCCTTACCAAAATAAATAAGAGATAGAGGGTTTTTAAGGGAGTAGGGCCTCTTTCCTCTCCCTGGGGCATTTTGGTGTATGAGACTGTAGTGAATGAGGTTTGCCCATTAAAGAGATTGCGCTGACATCGGGTAGAAGATGGGGAAGGAGTTTGGAATCCTGGGAAAGATGTGTGATTGGCCAGGGGAGGCTTTTCCAGAAACAGAATGGCTGGCCTTTGTGACCAGCTGGAAGGGGACTGTGGTGTGAGCCCCAGAGGCGGGCTCCTGGACTTTTTTCCTTCAGCCCTGTCCCAAGGGTGGCCTTTGATCCTGGGTACTCTTAGACTGGGGCTGTGAGCTGTGAGTGGGGTCCTTTTGTGAGATGTGCCCTCCAACAGCTGGCCTGTCACTTGACATTGAATAGAATGAGTGGATTTTAATTTCTGCTCTAGGACCATAAACAAGTTATTCTATTCATCTTCCCTGGGCTTTAGTTCCTTACATGGAAAGTTGTGTTAAGAATCTACCTAAAAAAAAAAAGAAGAAAGAAAAAATAGAATCTACCTAAAGCACTTAACTGGAATACAGTAGTTTCCCAATAAATAATTATTTAGAGGCATTCATTAGCCGCTCCTAGCGTTTATATCCCCTAGAGAAGAGATTTGGTTATCAAGAGATTAAAAAGAATAGGGCCCTTAGAAAAACAGTGGTCCGGTCCCAGGGGCTTCAAGGAGGAAAGGCCACTTCTGGCTGAGGAATGAGAGAAGGCTTCCCGGAGGCAGAGGCATCTTAGATGAGTCCTGTGAGATGAGAGGGGTTAAAGGTTTGTGGAGGGGCGGGGGAGGGCATTCCGAGAGATGGGCTTTGTAGTAGGCAAAATTTGGACGCAAGGAGGAAATTTAGCTAATGCGAATTTACTGAAGCGTGAGTGCGGGGAATCTCTCCGGAGTGCGGTAGCCCTTAAAGCGCAGAATGAGGGCGCCCCCGCGCTGCCATGCCCTCCACCAGAGTCCCACCCGCTGCCCCACGCACCAGGTGAGTGCCAGGCAGCCAGCGGCCCAGGACCCACGCCACTGCTCCCTCTACCCCCCAGATCAGCCCGGAGGAGGAGGAGCGCCGTCGAGTGAGGCGCGAGCGAAACAAGCTGGCCGCGGCCAAGTGCAGGAACCGGAGGAAGGAACTGACCGACTTCCTGCAGGCGGTGAGCACCAGCCGGTGCGGAGGGTGCCCAGGCCCCGGCTCACCGAACCCCTGAAAGGCCCCGGCTCCCGTGAGCCGTGGGAACCAGGGGGCACTAGTATATGAAGTCCCCTCCCCCAGCAGTCCTCCGGCGAAAATGACGAGGAAAAAGTAGTTAAAGATCAGTTGCAGCACACCTTACTCGGAGCAGAGCTGACTCGGAGATGAAGCTGCGGCAGACAGTCTCCTAAAACGCCCCCGGGCCCTCTTTGGAGACGTGCCCATTTTCTCCCAAGGGCTCATGGGAGTTGTAGTCCAGACTTGCTGGAGACTCCCCACTCACCCTACTCCCCCCGCCCACCCCCAATCACTACCACTGCGGAAGGCGACGCGGCATTCGGCCCTCATCTTCTTGACTCCTCTCCTAACCCTCTGCCTGCAGGAGACCGACAAACTAGAGGACGAGAAATCGGGGCTGCAGCGGGAGATTGAGGAGCTGCAGAAGCAGAAAGAGCGGCTGGAGTTAGTGCTCGAAGCCCACCGCCCCATCTGCAAAATCCCGGAAGGGGCTAGGGAGAGCAACACTGGCGGCACAGGCGGCACCAGCGGTACCAGCGGTACCAGCGGCACCAACAGCCCACCAGCCTCCTCCCGCCCTGTGCCTTGTATCTCCCTTTCCCCGAGGCCTGTGCTTGAACCTGAAGCATTGCACACCCCCACACTCATGACCACCCCCTCTCTGACTCCTTTCACCTCCAATCTGGTCTTCACCTACCCCAGCACCCCTGAGCCCTGTGGCTCAGCCCACCGCAGGAGTAGCAGCAGTAGTGGGGACCCATCCTCTGACCCCCTTGGCTCCCCCACTCTCCTGGCCTTATGAGGCACCCCAGCCCTCCTCCTTGTGGGTGCCCCCTAGCCAACATCTTCTCATCCATTGGTCCAGCTGGCCTGGGCCATATTCCATGCCCAACCCCAGCAGGTTCTTCTCCATCCCTCCAGATGAGACTGAGCATATTTTGCTTCCTGGTAGAGCTAGCTTGGGACCACCAAAGCTGCCCACTGTTTTAGAGCTGGCCTCTCTAGCACAATTTGCACTAAATCAGAGACAAAATATTTCCCATTTGTGCAGAACTCCTGGCAGCCCCAAAGGACTTTGTAGATCCCTAGAGGTCCTCTGGAGCCCTAACCCCCTCCGGACCACCCCTGTAGTCGTCATATCCCTCTTCCTGTGATCCACACAACCCTACCCCTTGACAGGTGATATGCTACCAGCCTAGAACACTAACTCACCCAGCCCCACTGCCAGCAGGACCAGGTGATTGAACCAGGGCATTTTGCCTGCCTCTCCTGAATGGCACAGCTCCAGTGTCAGAGGATTCTGTGATGAGCTGACTTCCAGCTCCCAGCTCTGAGAAGACTTTAGCTCCAGGGAATCCAAGCCTCCACCACAAGGGCAGCTGCTATTTATTTTCCTAAAGAGTATTTTTATACAAACCTGCCAAAATGGAATAAAAGGCTTGAAGCTCTGGCCTGGTTTCTTTGGACCCAGAGGCTGAAAGAACATTTGGAGCCAGAAGCCCTAGGCTTGGGTCTCAGCTCCACCCACTCACTGCATGACCTTGGGCAGATTATTTGATATTTCTGGACCTCGATTGTCTTATATGACAAATGAAGCTACATCTGCTCTGCCTCATCTCCAGGACTGAGAGGAAGAGAGTGCTGTGGGATGCAAGCCAAGAGGATTATCATCTTCCTTCTAGTGGGGGCCCACCTGCTCCTGCCTGAGCCACAGGAGAGCGCTGTTACTGCTGTTAAGACGCTTCCAGCCTCAGGGGAGGTGGCTGAGTGGATTCTAGGCCCCCAACACCAGCTTCCTGCCCCCATTGTCTTGGGCAGGAAGGAGCCCGGAAGGGAGCCGGAGCCACTTCAGGGTCAGGATCACCTCCTGTTCTGAGGCCTGACAGGGAAGAGGGGGGTTAGCCAGCGTCTGAACCACGATCCCACATCCCGCCCCAGGCTTGAGGTAATGGGGAGAATCGGACTCCTTAGTTCTGTAGCTCCTCCGGATGGGAATGATACTGTCTCAACGTCCCCGCCCTTGTTCTAACCTCGACGAGTCCCAAACAGACGCTGCCCAAGCCACGGGCTCTGCTTCCGTCCGTTTATTAGCCTCCACCCAGCCCCCTGCAAGTCCCTCCGCTCCAGCCTCCAGTCCCCCTGCTGCCCCGCCAGCGAGAGCGAGGGGCCCTCCTCAGTGCCAGGGTTTCTAAGTCCATGCCAGCGGCCTCTCTTGCGCAGCCGGATCGGCTTCCAGGTCCCGAGGTCCACTGCATTCCGGGAGCTTGAGGAGCCATCCAGGCGGGAGTCGGCACTAAGGAAGCTGCGTCCTCAGTCATCTGGGGAGCAGGCCAGGGGCAACTGATCGGGACTGCCCACGCTGCCGGTGCTGGAGCTTCCATCGCCGAGGTCGCGGGGCCCGCAAGGAGGCAAGGCGAGCTCGGGTGTCGGCCCGGCGCCTGAGCTCCCCGCACCGCCGGAGCCGCCGCGGGGACCCCACTCCTCGCCCAGAGCCAGGCAGAGCTCTTTAAGCGCCAGGTTCTCCCGCAGCAGCTCCTCCTGGCGGCCCTCCAGTTCCGCCAGCTTCTGCCAACAACCTCCCAGGTCCTCGCGCACAGCCCGGGATGCTTGGGTTCCGAAGAGCTGCCACTGGCGAGCGGCGCGCCGCCCGCGCTGGCGCTCGGAGTCCAGGAAGCAGCAGAGGTCGCGCAGCTCGCGGTTTTCGGCCTGCAGGCGCCGGTTGAGCTGCTTGAGCTCGCGGATCTCGCCCAGGTGACCCTGTAGCTGCCGATTCACCTCCTGCATGAGGCGGCCGCGCTGCACCAGAGCCGCCAAACGCGCCGCCTCCTCCCGCCGCAGGCGCCGCACCAGCTCCTCCTTGCCTAGCGCCGCCATCTCCTCGTCTGTCAGCTCCTCCAGGCCGCCCACCTCGGCCTCCATGGCTGCTCAGGCCTCTGGAGCATCGCCTGCCCGCCGCCGCGGCCCAGGAGCCCTACGTCGAGCCCAGCGCCTCTAAGGCTCAGGCTCCAGCTCAACCAGCCGCAGGCTGTGGCGAGCTAGCATAGGGGGCAGCAGCCGCGCGGGGGTGGGCACGCGGCGGGGCGCGCGCCGGGGCGTGGCTGCCTGACGTCAGGAAGGACAGCCAATTCGGGGAAGCCTCCCCGGGAAGGGGCGGGGCTTGAGCGCATGGAACGGTCCTTCGCCCACTCCCGATCGCAGAGTCCCTGACTCTCCCGGACACTGGGTCTCAGCGTCCTCTCACTTCTCACCAGTCAACCCAAAACTAGGCGCTTCGTACTTCCCAGTTCCAAACCTCCTCAAGTTCGAGTCTAGGCCTCTCGGCTTCTGAAAACCAAGACTCGGGGTTCGGCCCCTGAACTCTCCAGCCCACTCCGACGGAACACCAGACCCACCGCCTTTCCATCCTTCCTAGCTTAGCTCGAATTCGAGAATCTCTGCTCAATGAGCATCGCTCCCAGCTCCTCCGAACCCTAAGTCCAAACGTCCTGGCTCACCATCAGCCTAACCTCCCTCTCACGAAGGGTTTCCTGCCCTGGGGTGGTTAACCGGGGGACATACAAGGGATTCGTTTGTTCAATAAACCTTTATTGTGTGTAAGACCCATGCAGAAATAAGCTCGATCAAGATTCTTATCCTGTCCTCAAGTCAGTCTGGCAAGGGAGACGAGCTGTGGTAAACAATTAAATGAAAGAAGGGCACGGTCTGAGGGGATTCCCGCCCCTCCGCAAAAGGTTTCCCAAAAGAGGAGATATTCGAGGGTCTCTGAAAGATGCACAGGACTTTTGTCAAGTAATAATAAAGCTATTTCATGGAGAGGGGATAGCATGATGAAAGATGCTGGGGTCTGGAAGGGCCTAGATGCTTTAGGAACAGTGAAAGCAGCTTGATTTCTTTTTGAAAGGCAGGTGCGTAGAGAAAATTTGGTAAGAGAGGGAGAAAACAAAGGTAGTCAGAAGCCAGATTCTTAAGGGGCTTTCAATACTATATTGGAGTATTTTCACAGGCAAGTAAGGATTTTAAGCAGGGGAGTAACATTTTTAAATATTCATTTTTAAAACAATTATTCAGGCTGCTCCGTGTGGGATGGATCATGGGGAGAGAATGTAGGCAGGGAGATTAGTAAGAACACTGTGTCAATGGGCAAGGAGAGCTATGCAGAAGGACTGGGCCAGAACAGTGCCAGTGGGGGTGGAGAAGACAAAACAGATACTAGAAATACACAGGAGGCAAATCCGCAGAACTGAATGTGGAGAGAGGAGTCTGAGAGAAAGCCTAGGTTTCTGGTATGAGAACTGGGTGGATGTTGGGTGGGGCTATCTGTGAGATAGGAATGCAGGAAAGAAACAGGCTGGGGAGACCAAGAGGTCTGCCTAGCTTTTGAGGGCCTGTGGGAAGACAGCGTGGAAAGACTCACAGATGGGCGGCCCTCCGGATGTGGACTTCCAGCAGAGTTCTGAGCTGTAGAATAAGAGAGGTCATTAGTTAGTGGCAGGGCGCGGGCGGGGGGGGGCGGTGTTAAAATCCTGGGAGCAAGTGCCCAAGACCCAGGAGAGATGCTCATCGCAGGATGGACTGAGGAGCTCTCAGCAAGGGTCTTTAGAACTCGGCCTGGACATCTTTATTATCGAGAAAAGGTTTAGGATTGAGCCCTGCGAAACCCCTAAATTTAGGATACAAGTCAATGTACGATAGCCAGAGAAAGTGGGGGTGGGGGGAGGGAACAGGGGCAAGTGACGGCCGGAGGCTTCGATTCCCGACATCCTCTTGCAAACCCGGCTGGGGTCAGGGTGGGAGTAGGGACAGGGGAGCTGGGGATTCCCCCTCCCGCTGAGAAAACGGGCTACTGCACCGCCTCCGCCTTTTCCCTCGCCGTTCCTGCCCCACCTTCTCTGTCCCGGAAGTGGTCCTTCTCTGGCTCCGGGTGCCGGAGCCGAATCTCCGCGCTCCCGGAAGTGGCCCGGCGGCGGCGCGCCCGGCCGGGGCAGTGCTCGCTCCTGCTGGGGCGCTGCAGCCGCACCCGGGTCCGGGCGTCGAGATGACCAGCGAGCTGGATATCTTCGTAGGGAACACGACCCTCATCGATGAGGACGTGTATCGCCTCTGGCTGGATGGTTATTCGGGTCTGTGGGGGGCCGTCTAGGGGAGCCGGTGGGGCCGAGCCTTTGTCTAGGATGGGAGAGGGGGCGGGGCCTGGACTTGGGCTTTTCACCCGGTAGCGAGCAGAGGGAATAAGGGATGTATGGAGGTTGGAATCCCTGGAGGGGCTCTGAGGTCGGCGCCCACTCCACAGTGAACGACGCGGTGGCCCTGAGGGTGCGCTCGGGAATCCTGGAGCAGACGGGCGCCACGGCAGCGGTGCTGCAGAGTGACACCATGGACCACTACCGAACTTTCCACATGCTCGAGCGCCTGCTGCACGCACCGCCCAAGCTTCTACACCAGCTCATATTCCAGATCCCGCCCTCCCGACAGGCGCTGCTCATCGAGAGGTGGGGAAGCCAACCAGTCTGACCACATACCCATTTTGCAGGCTGAAACTAAGGCTTAAGGAGGGACTGGACTAACCCCGGCCTTGAGAAAGTTGATAACAGAAGGGGCCAAACCCAAGCCCAACCTTTATGGAAAGTCAGTAGTGTACTCTGCCTCCACACAGGTACTATGCCTTTGATGAGGCCTTTGTGCGGGAGGTCCTGGGCAAGAAACTGTCCAAGGGCACCAAGAAAGACCTGGACGACATCAGCACCAAAACAGGCATCACCCTTAAGAGCTGCCGTAGACAGGTGGGCACTACAGCCTCCTCCCCACCAACAACATCCCATCTATAGTCCACCCCTTTACTCCATCTCTTTGGCCACTGTCCCATCTCCAGTCTAGTCCCCCAATTCTGATTGTGGCAGCAGCTTCATACGCAGTCTCCTCTTGCGTTTTTGCCCCTTACAAACCATCCCCTACTCTTCGATCAGAGTGACATTTCAGAGCCCGTAGCTTTCCCCCCGTTCATAAACTTTCATTCACTCCAACTCCCTCCTGGATAGTAGCCACACTCTAGCCACACTTCTTAACCTTGACTTTCATACTCTCCCGTGATCTGGTCCCCACCAGCCTCTTTAGGTTTATATTTCCCCAGTGCCCGGCTTTCTTTTGCTCATGCTGCTCCTACCTGGAGGGTACCATTCTTAGTCACATGAAATCCAGGATGGGGTCAAGTGTCACCTCTACAAGCCTTTCTGGTGGTGCCAGGGAGAAGTAACCCTTTTCCTGGGCCTTTAGTGTCTTTTCTCTGTGTCTCCAGTGAGCTCCCTGAATACAGCTTAGCATTTGCTCATTTTTGCCTTCCTGGGCCTTAGTCCAGCATAAGCTTGTGAAGAAATAGAGAGTACAATGTTAAAATGGGGGTGAATTCAGAGGTAGGAGTGAAGAATGTTTATCTGAGGTAAGATAGCAGAAGCTAGTAGATACTCATTCATTGAATTGATAACAAGTAGTAATAACTAATAGTTTATTGATGGAATAACAGATGCTATATGTAGTGTCTGTTGACTGGATAGATGGATAGGTAAGAGAGGGTGAGAGACCAACGGTTTATTGGGTGAGCAGCCTCTGACCAATCCACCCTCCTCCCCTAATTGCCCTGCAGTTTGACAACTTTAAGCGAGTCTTCAAGGTGGTAGAGGAAATGCGGGGCTCCCTGGTTGACAACATCCAGCAACACTTCCTCCTCTCCGATCGATTGGCCAGGTGAGGGACCAAGTGAGAAGCTATTCATCTCCCCCATTCTGCACACTCCTTCCCTGGGCTCCAAGGCTGCTCCACCTGCCCCACCCCAACCCACTTGACCTCCTGGCCGTGTTAGGGGAATGATCACTCTTGGTCTGTACTTTGGCCTGAGTTCAAATCCCAGCCTGGTCACTTACCAACTGGGCTGTTACGAGGTGCTACATGTAAAGCGCATGGCACAGTTCCTGGTGCTTAGAAAGTGCTCAGTAAGTGGTAACCATTGCCCTTGTGGTCTCCCGCTGTATCCCTAGACCTCTTCGCGCAGATCCGGAGGCCCAGAGATAGGTAACTTGAAACACGTCACACAGTGAGTTAGGGCAGAGAGAGGCTAGAACTCGGATGCCCAACCGATGTTGCAGGTGGGAGCTGCTTGCTCAGAAGGGATTTTTAGCCCTGACAGGTCCACTCTTCCCTCCCCGCAGGGACTATGCAGCCATTGTCTTCTTTGCCAACAACCGCTTTGAGACAGGGAAGAAAAAACTGCAGTATCTGAGCTTTGGCGATTTTGCCTTCTGTGCTGAGCTCATGATCCAGAACTGGACCCTTGGAGCCGTTGGTGAGGCCCCCACTGACCCAGGTGCCTGGACACCTCCCCACACTCTCAGGGTCTGCTTCTTCCCCAGCACTTTCTCCTGCAGGCCCCCAGTTTCCAGCAGGCTTTCTTCTTCAGGGCCCCCTCCCCAGCCACTTCTGCTCATAGTCCAGTGTCCCCACACACACCTTGTTTGCAGAGAAAGGACCCACTACCTCTCTATGGCCTGGGGCAAGTCACTCCACCTCTCTGACACTCTGCTTCCTCTTCCATCTTGGGGTGCAATGAGGTGGTGGGTGAGGAAGGCTCAGGATGTCACAGGAGAGCATTTTATCTCTCACCCCAACTCCCTTCATGGGCCTCACTCAGACTCCCAGGTGGATGACATGGATGTGGACTTAGACAAGGAGTTTCTCCAGGACTTGAAGGAGCTCAAGGTGCTAGTGGCTGACAAGGACCTTCTCGACCTGCATAAGAGGTAACCTTGAGTTTGGGGGGGTGGTCTATGGAATCCCCCTGAAGAGAAATTCCAGGAGGCCCTAGGCTTGACCCTGTCTCCCTGTAGCCTGGTGTGCACTGCCCTCCGGGGAAAGCTCGGTGTCTTCTCTGAGATGGAAGCCAACTTCAAGGTCTGTGGCCCAATCCAACCTGTGCCCCTTGGGCATCTTCAGCCGCCAGAGCACTGTCCCATTGGGAATTCTTGCTCATGCTGTAGATTGGCCAGCAGGTGGTGCTGCTGCTCCCTCTGCCCGCCTGTGACTGGGAACCAAGTTCCTAAACTTCGGGGAGTTATTTGAGGGAGGTGGATGGATTTAGGGAGGGGCCTGCCCCTCTCCCAGCGTCTGGGCTCAGCCCCCAGCCTGTGGGGCAGAAGGCAGAACTCCTAGGCTCCCTGCCCCACAGAACCTGTCCCGGGGGCTGGTGAATGTGGCTGCCAAACTGACCCACAATAAGGACGTCAGAGATCTGTTTGTGGACCTCGTGGAGAAGGTGAGCTGTCCTGCCTGTTGCCCACCCATCCCCAGCATGGCCTGTCTCTGAGCTGTACCAGTGCTAGATGTTCCCTTGGGCCTACAGTTCGTGGAGCCCTGCCGCTCTGACCACTGGCCGTTGAATGACGTGCGGCTCTTCTTGAATCAGTATTCGGCATCAGTCCACTCCCTGGATGGCTTCCGGTGAGAGACCCCCAGCCCTCCTGTCCAACTTGGCCTCGCCCTTGCCAGCCGCCTGCCAGGGCCTGGCCCTCCTGCAGACTCAAGGTTCCTTGTTTGCCGCACTGGGGGTGGAGTTCTCTCTGTGGACCAGAGTCCTGGCTCCACCTCTTAGAAGCTGTGAGCTGACCTTGGGCAGGTTCCTTAATCTCTTCATGCTTCAGTTTCCTCATATATAGACCGGGAGTGATAATGAGAAGGATCATAAGAATAATGTGAGGATTAAAGAGCAAAGGCATATAGAGCACTGAGGGTGGTGTTGTGACATGGCGGGCTGCAGTGAACTTCAGCCATCACCATCATCATTATCATTGCAGGCACCAGGCCCTCTGGGACCGCTACATGGGCACCCTTCGTGGCTGCCTCCTGCGCCTCTATCATGACTGAGGCCCCCTCCCACTTCCCGGCCACACGGACAATAAAGTTGCCTTGACTTTGGAGGAGCCTGTGCATGGGTGCCATAGGGTTCGTGTGTGGGAGGTGCGCACGTGTATGTATCGTGCATAAGGATCTGTGTACGTCGACTCTGCGGGCACTAGGATGTGTCAGGGATGGTATCTGTGCTCCCCCGTCCATTTCCCCACCCAGCTGCATTCACTCGGAAGATAGGGTCTTATCTTGGTTTATTCAACCTATATCAAGACGGGAGGACAGGTGAAGACTTTGGGGTGAGGCCAGCAAAGAGGCAACTGGCATAGCAGGAAGGCACTGAGGGGTAGGCTCAGGGAGGGCAGGAGACTAGCTGCTGCTTCCTCTTAACTGGATGGGTCACTCGGGCAGTAAGTGGGTACTTGGTGATGCCGCAGGTGTTGCTCCCTCGGTGCAGACGGAAATAGCCCTAGAGAGTTAGGAGACATTAGGACCAGAATATGGGGAGAGGCCCATCCTGCCCTGTCCCCCTGCAATAGATCACACTCACCTTCTCACCCCAGCTGGCCCCCCAGGAGTTCTTCAGGATCCAGTATGGGATGGAGTGACGAGATTTGGATGAGACGGCCTCTGCCCGCCTCCCCTCCACTGACTTGCTCTTACCAAAACCCACCAGCAGGACAGAATGGTCCACAAGGTGGGGGTCACAGGTGTTGGATGTGGCCTTGATCACACCGGTCTGGTATTGCTGCAGGGGCAGGGGATCTGAGTCTGGGGCCATATCCTCTATATGGCCTTCCCCCATTCCCTAACCTGTCCTACCTGTAGTAGCTTCATGTTGATGGTCACAGTGATGGGGCCCTCAGTGGCCAGGTACCTGGCAATTTCTGGGGGTAGAAAATGCCATCAGTCCTTGCCTATCCTGTGCCCCCTGTTCTCAGCTCATGGGTGTCTCTCTCTCTCTCTCCCCCACACCCTCATCCTTCTATCTCTGTCTATATCCAAGTTTGCCTGCCTCTGTCTTGGTCTGTCTCTGTGACCCCCACCCTATGCCCGCCCAGGTCTCCACCCCGCACGCACTCATCTCACAGTCCGGCAGCATGATGAAATCCTGGATCCAGGCCACGTTTTTATGCTTCTTGGCCTGGCACTTGTGGGTTCTGACTTTCCCCTGGTATGGGTAGTCCTTTTCACTGGCCAGGCCGCCTGGAGATAAACAAAGTCAGGAGGGAACTCAGCTCTGGAACATCCCCTCACCCCACAGCCACCCGGAGAGATTGGGTACTCACTGTTGTTGAGAACAGTTATGAAGGCGTCCCAGATGAAGCCGCCCTCACAGCCATTCCCACAGCGGGTACAGTCGACTAGCTCTGGTCCAAAAAGGGACAGTGTGGGTGGCCAAGCTCCAGGCCCCATCCTCCCACCGGCACACATGCCCCCTCTCAGCCTTACCCTGCACGGAGACTTCCACAGGCTGGTGGTGTTTAATGCCCCACAGGGCCTCGATGTTGCCTGCTGCCGCCATGGCCCAGCAGCACTTGCAGTTCTTCTGATGGGGAGGAGTGAAGGGCTGGGTAAGTGGTCCAAGCCTTGCCCTCTCCCTCCCACCACTGGGGCTGGGTGGAGGCAGATACCTGGTCCTTGACAGAGGAGATGACACCAGACTTCTTCCGCCAGTCACAGGTGGGGGGCACTGACTCACTCCACTCGTCAGACCCTACCTTTCTGTCCATGTTGGGGGCCCTTCCAGCTGCCACTGGATGCCCATAGAGCTGGCCAAACTACTCCTCTAGGGGACGGATGGGACAACCAAGTTCACAATATTGACCCTTTCTCCCCCATATTCTGCTCTTCCCACTCCAGCCATCCATATCCTTGGCCATTTGAGTCCCCATAATACTCTGAGAGACAAAGGCAAGGATGCCAAGTCCTCGAAAGAGACCACTTTCCTCGCTCGGGTGAATTTCCCTGCACCTGCTGCCTCGTCCCTGAGCTGGGCTGGGACACAGACCTCCGGAGTACTTGTCCGTACTCTCAGCGATTTGGGACAAGCACCCAGACCTCTGGTCCTCAGGGTCCCTCTCTGGGAAATAAAAGCCAAAAGTCTGCCATGTCCATCTCCCAGTATCCCTGGATGAAGCTCTGCTTCCACACCCACCGCCTAGAGGCGAGGAGGCATCCTAGTACCTGTCAGGTCACTGAATGGGGTCACCCCGAACTTGGCTGTGCCCAAGTCCTCTTCCTGCTGCTGCTGGGCCCGGGCCAGGTTGTGCGCAAAGATGTTCAGGCGGCGAGCATGCTCTGGTTCAAAAGGGGGTTGTTCTAGGCTGGCTCCCAAGCCCCTGGGGGCAGGAAGTGGCCACCTGGCTGAGCAGTGTCCTGCCCACACTTGCCTAGATGAGCCCGTGCTCCTTTCCTGTGGCCCCTTTAGGCCCCACTGCAGATACCTGGGTCAAGGAAGTGGCTCCCCAGCCCACCTAGGGTTGGGTTTTCTGAGAAGGTAGGAAGGGGGTGGGGGGAAGACAAGTAAAGGATCTGAAGGCAGAGTGACTCAGAGGGGAAAGATGGGTGTTTGGAGACCCGTTTCCTGCTGGGTCACCTCCGCTTCCACTTTACACCTCTGACTGCAGGTCTGGAGGTGGGATGTGGTGAGGGTGGGCAGGGTGGGGTCCAGATCCATGGCATGGGCATCGTGGGGTGAAAGAGGCCCACAGATTATCCCCCCAAGGGAGATGAGACCCAGAGACGATGGGAGCAAGGCTGGCAACTCATGGGGCAGAGAGGGAATCCCCAACTTGGGGACAAAATGGGTATCTTTGGGTGTTTGCTAAGTGAATTCATGACTAGGTGGTCGCCTGCCTGCTGCCTGGAGTCACAGGAAAGTGGCTTTGAAGGTGAGGCGTCCTGCAGGACTGCGTAGACCCCCAACAGCTGCCACCTCCCTCCAGGTTCATGGTAAATAATGAGCCTGTCCTACTTTTGCATCCAGAAAACCAGGGGGTACACCTCAGCCCTGCTGCTGTCCCGAGTGGCCTTAACTAAGCCCATATCCACCCTGAGCCTTGATTTCCTCGCCTATTAGGTGGGAGAGGTGGGGTTGGCCTGGAGATATGCAGGTCCCGTGATACCTGCTGGGTTCAAGTAACTCCGGTTGTACTGGGTCTGGAATAAAGCGAAGACCTCTTTCAGCTCCAGTGGCCGGGGACCTGGGTCCTGGAAGGAACCGGGGTGGGAGGGATTCGGTGACCACATCACAGTTCCCAGCCAGGCAAGGACTGGGCTAGATCTTCCAGTTGGCCTGTTCTGTCTCCCTGTGTGAGCTTGGCCACATTAGTCACCTCTCCAGCCTCGGTCGCTCCCTCTGAGACATGGGAACGAGGCAGTTTCTGAAGGAGTGAGTCCCAGGCATGGGGCTTACGGAGCGAAAGGTATGGGGAGCAAGTTGCGGGCACTTACCTGGCTCCTGAGGGAGCCCTTGATGCCTTGGGCCAGGCTTGCCACCAGGAGGGCCAAGAAGCAGGAGAGATGGACCGTTGGTGTCATGGTGCTGCCAACCAGAGTGCTGGGGGCAGGAAGCTATGTAGACCAAGCTAGGGGGGCTGAGAGGGTGGAGCTGGAGAAACCACAAGGGAGAAACCAGGCAGGGAGGGGAAGGTGGACTCCCCAAGCAAGAGGCATTCAGGCTTTTGTCTCTACAGGGCCCTCTGCCTGTCTATTCCCCACCCCAACCCTTTTTCTTTATTCAACAGAAGCTCTCTGCCTATCTTGTTCTGGGCTATTCTTGGGATACAGAAATAGATCTGTCCTTAGGGCAACATGAGGCAGATCCTAAGACGGCAGTGACCTAGGGCCCTCAGTGTTGTGACAGGGAAGCCCAAGGGGCTATGGGAGCCATAGGCCCCTGACAACTGAGTGTGGATGGAGGGTGGTCAGTGCCCCCTGGGGAAGCACTCTTGCTCATCCTAAGAAGCTTAGCTCAAGGGTCAGGTCACCTCCAAGAAGCCTTCCCTGCTCCCCCATCCTCTGGTGCAACCCGCAGCCCCTGGAGCCCTTGCTGTGCCTGCAGGGCGTGTCATCTCCCTTCAGACTGATGCAGAAAAGGATAAATTCCTCCCCCTCCAGTGGCCCTGCACTGAGAGTGAAAGTGTTCTTGACCGAATGCAGGAAAGGGTTCAAGTGTCGTTCAGAGTTAGCGTCAAAGGAAAGTTTATTAGAGAAAGGTTAACACCCTGTAGACTGAGAAAAAGACCAAGACAGAAAGTGAAGACAGGAAGCCTGAGTGTTCAGGGAATTCAATTTGTATATCATTCTTAGTTTCTGTGAATCACAGTTTAAAGACTTTGTTTACCCATTTTCCTTTGACAGGATGGGTATACAGTGTGAGAGGCCTGCTGGCAATTCCCAGCCTTTGATCCATAGGTTCCCCATCATTTTAGCCATAAGGAATGAATGATTTTGTTTACTTTGTGTAGGGCGCGACTTAAAGACTCTGTTTTCCCTTCATGGTTTGCGTAAATGGTTTGTTAGTCATCCCAGCAGAAATCTTCCCTCGTTCTGTAGGTTCAGGCAGTAGAGCTGAGCAGCATATTGCAGTCTGAGTGTAGCTTGATCGAACGTTTAGTCCTCTTGCTTCCTCCCTATATTACAACCACACCAGAGGTGTCCGATGCGCCTGCGTTCTCAGCACCCAGGATGGGGCTGGGCATGGAGCGGGCTCCATGAGCATTGTGTTTGTTGACTGAACTGGTCATCATGGCTTTTAAACAGGGAAGTGCAAGGTCTAGGGGACAGCAAGTGGCAGCTACTGCCTCCTTCTGTTCCTCGTTCCTGTTACAATCCAGGGATGAGAATGAGGGGTGTGGACAGGCCTCAGGGGACAGAAAGGTAACAGGGTTGGCAACTCAGACAGAGCAAGGCCAAGGGCTGAGCAGGAGTGTTAACACCTTTCCCGCTGCCTGGGTTCTAGGGGTCCTTGGGCTGGGGATCCCTCCCTTATGAGGCTCCAGGCTGGGAACCAGGGCCCCAACGTCAGAGATGAGTGAGAAAAAATGGCTTTCCAGAGGTTCCATGGGAGAGAGGGAAGGGCGGAGGGCTCTGATCATTGATTCATGTGCTCACTACCTCATTTCTTCATTTATTAGGAATCTTCCCAAGGCTGTGAGGCCCCATTGTGCTGTACCACCCCCACTCTCTCCAGTAAACCAAGGGACCCCTCTATATGGAAAAAAAAAAAAGAGCCATGCTGCCTGTATTAAAATGCAGTAGACAGACCATCTGCAGAAGGGGAACCGGTTCTAGAGCCCAGTCATGTGCCCCAAGTTGGGCTTGGGTTATGTGTGACCTATGGCCCCTTTTCTCACCCCTCAGAGCTGGAGATCCCGCTGTGGGCACTAAAGGGGTATAATAAAATCTGTCTCTGTGGTGGTGGGGCTTGTGGAAATTTGGGGGAGGAGGGACTGGGGCATGGGGCTAGGTGGCCTTCATTAAACGTAAGGCAGGAGATTTTAGTCTTTTTTGATCAGTGCTGTGCCCCTGGTGCCCAGCACAGAGCTTTTCCAGGGTGGCCACTCAGTAAACATTTGTTGAGTGAATGAGTTAACTTCCTCACTTGCTCATTTGTTAATTCACTTGTTCCTCCTGCATTTCCTGGCTGGCATGCAGTGGGGGCTGGGCCAATGGCCCAGGGGTCTCGGGCTCACTGCCTGGGAGGAGCTTACAACGTGGTCAGAGAGAGACACCAGTCAAGATAAGGCCTGGTGACCCAGTGCAGAGGGATGAAGGCAGGAAGGTCAGGAAAGGTGTTCTGAGGAGGCAACTCTGAGTGGCAGGTGACCCCAGGCCTAATAGTACAAAGACAGAGGTTCAGGTCCAAGTTTGAGATGCCAACTTGTGCACCCAGTCATTCCCCTCGGATGCTCATCTCTCAGCAGCAGTGACAATTCCTTTGAGTGGAATGACATTGTGGAGCATTTTTGAGCTTGGCTGGCACAGAGTAGGTGTTCAAATGGTGAGTCCTTAATGCTCTACTGTGGGGCAAAGAGCCCAGAAAATCTTAGAGTCAGAAGGACTTGAGTTCAAATCCTGTCCTTACCACTCTGGCTGCGCCTGGACAAATCTCAGCCTCTCTCACCTGTGAAAGGGGGTGATAATGGCCCCACTTCACTGGCTTGGCAGGAAGAGAGCATGAGGTGAATGCTAATGCCTGGAATGGTTAGATCTTGATAATCAAGCACTAATATTTTTGTCATTTTTTATAAATAACGACTCTACCCCGAAGACTTGAAAACTCATATTCGAAAAGATATTTGCACACCGATGTTCATAGCAGCATTAATCACAGTGGCCAGGACATGGAAGCAACCGAAGTGTCCTACAATAGATGATTGGTTAAAGAAGCTGTGGTACATATATACAATGGAATATTACTCAGCCATAAGAAGAGATGAAATACTGCCATTTGCAACAACATGGCTGACCTTGAAATAATCATACTAAGTGAAATAAGCCAAACAGAAAAGGTTGAAAATCACATGATATCACATATGGGGGATATAAACCTAAAAGCAACAAATGAACAGGACAGAGACTCATAGACATGGACAATGGACTAGTGGCTACCAGAAGGGAGGAGGGAGAGGGAAAATAAAAAACTAAAATTAAAAAAAATTATATATATAGTATGAAAAAAATAAACTGGCATTTAAAAAATATAAATGACTTGATTGAAATATATAATTCACATAGCATGAAACTCACTCTTTGAAAGTGCATTTCACTGGTTTTTAGTATATTTGCATAATTGTGCAACCATCAACTCTCATCATCTCAAAAGAAACCCCATACTCATTAACAGTCACTCCTCGTTCCCTTTCCTCCTGGCAAACATTAATCTGGTTTGTCTCTCAGAGTTACGTATTCTGAATGTGTCATATAAACGGAACATGTGGCCTTTTGTACCTGGCTTCTTTCACATAGTGTAATATTTTCAAGGTTCTTTCATGTTGTAGCACATATCAGTTCTTCATCCCTTTCTATGGCTGAATAATATGCCATCATTTTTTATCCATTTATAAACATTTTGTTTATCCATTCATCAATTGATGGACATGTTTTCGATTCCCCTGGGTGTATACCTAGGAGTGAAATTGCTGGGTGACACAACATTTTGAGGACCTGCCAGACTGTTTTCCAAAGCGGGTACACCCTCTTACATTCCCACCACAGTGTATGAGGGTTCCAATTTCTCCCTATGCTCGTCAACACTTGTTATTGTCTTTTGGTTTTAAATACCTATTATTTTTAGCCTCCTCACTGAAGCAGCTCAGAATTTGGAGGATGGGGGAGACACTCTCCGGTTCACCTTGAACCCTAAGAGGGCTCACTTTGGGACCCACCGGCAAGTACCCTCTTCAGCACAACCCCTCCCCCGGCTGGGCTGCCTTCAGGGAGATTGCGTGGATAAACAGGGATGGTAAAGGGAAGGGAGGGCTCGGCAGTTCCCGCACCCCGTCTGTCCCCAGGCGTGGATCCCTGGACACGCGGCTCTTTCCCGTCTGGTCCCGCCCTGAGACGTGGGCAGGGCGAGACCCCGCCCCTTCCTGGGAGCCCGCTCCGCCCAAACTCCTCCCCCCAAGGCGCGCCCTCCTCTGGGAGCGGGGGAGGCGGAAACGCGGAGTGGGAGGGCGGGGCAGGAGCTGGCTGGAGACCCCGGCGTCCTGCACGCCAGAGTTTAGCCCTGCCTGCCTTTTCAGGGGCTTCCATTCATTCAGGGCCAAAAGGGAACTGCCGCCACCTCCCCCAAACTGTTGTGGCCTCTAAGACAGAGGACTCAAAGAGGCTGCCCTGGAGTGAAGGGACCACCTGGTTGTAGACAGCCCTGGGGATGGAGGGGAGAAGAGGCAGAGATGAACAGCTCTAGGCCTGGGAGTGTCTCGTTTTCGGGCGAGGGTCTGGGGACCCTGGATGAAGTTTTGATATTTCCAGAGTGACTGTCCAGGTGCACAAAATAAAATTCTGGAGGGTCTAGATTGAGGACCTGGAAACCCCAGCGTTAGGTTAGGTCTAGGTGCCCAGAATGACATTCTGGGAGGCGAAGATAGAGTCTGGGGGCCCCGGCATTAAGATGTGGGTGCACAGGACAGAATTCTGGGGGCGCAGATTCGGTAGGGTCTGAGTGCACAGGATGACATTATGGGGTGCACAAAGTGAGGACCTGGGGACTCCCGGGTATGTCTGGGGGCCTGGCATCACGGCCAATGTCCCCAAGATCGAGCGCTAGGGGACCCTGGCCCAGCGCCGGTAGGCGG